ACGTCTCGGCCCTGCTCGGGTTTCCCTGTCGACCCGCCGCACCACAGAGCGAAACCAGAAAAGCCTGCATGAGAGGAGAAAAAAAAATGTGCTGAGAAAAAGGAATTTTCCTTCCTTCCTCCTTTTCTCCTCCCTCTCTTCCTTCCTTTCTTCCTTTTGCTCAAGATCGCCCCACATTCCCTGTGTAGCCAAGGCTGACACTGAACTTCTGAGCCTCCTTCAACCCACCACCTAAGGATAAGCATTCATTACAGGCTGCTTGCTACCATGTCTGGCTCCTCAGCTCCTCTTTTTGGTTTGGTTGTTTGTTTTTGTTTTGTTTTTATACAACAAGGCCGGTCTCACTTGGTAACTAAGGCTGGCCTGGAACTCCCTGTGTGGTCCAGATTCAAAGCGATCTTCCTTTCTCAGCCTGCTTGAGCACTGGGGTTGCAGGTGGCAGCCTCGATGCTCACACTGAATTTGTTTTGAATTTGGGTTAAAATCAAACTAGGGATTCTGGAGCCTTGTGACTTTTGATCTCCAGCGAGAGGAACTAAGCACACAGATAGTCCATTCACGGCCAAGGCTCTGGTGCTTCATGCTCAGACTTGTCCAGAGCTCGGAATCCCTACCCTACTGGGAATCAGCACCCGCACCTGTCTCAAAGCTGCTCTGACCTTTGCAAATGGCAAAGATAATTTCACAGGCAGGTACCGATTTGTCTTTATTTTTAGGCTACATTGTGTGAGCTCCATTAAAAAAAAAAAGCCTTATCTTTAATTGGCAGATCATTGTATAGAATCTGCGGGGAGCTTTTTAACACCTGTATACATTTTGTAATGATCACAGCAGAGTAATTAGTGTCTTTACCATCTCAAATGTTTATAAATTTCTTTGTGGATAAAAGTATCTAAAAATCCTTTCTTCTTTTTATAGATATTTTGAAATAAGGTACCACCCAGGTTTAGTGGAATACATAATCCTAGCACTTGGGAGGTGGAGGCAGGAGGTCAGGAGTTCAAGGTCATCCTCAGCTACACAGTGAATTCCAGCCAGTTTTTGAGGCTCTGTCTCCAAACAAGAAAGTGTGTGTGTGTGTGTGTGTGTGTGTGTGTGTGTGTGTGTGTGATCTATGTAATAGAAAACCACAACTTATCCTTTCTGCCTAATCATATCTTTGTACTTCTCTCCTCTCCTTCCAGCTGTTTTCTCCTGGTAGTCTTGTTTTCTTCTCTCTACTTCCAAGGGTTCCACATTCTGAGATTTCAAATGTAAGTGAGAGCACGTGGTGTTTGTCTTTTGGTGTCTGGCTTATTTCACCTAACACGACCTCCTGTAGGTTCCTCCATACTGTTGCAAATGACAGATTTTTTCCCTATTTTTTTTTAAGAGTGAAAACACTGTTTCACCGTACATGTGTACCATATTTTAAAAATTGATTTCTCTGTTGATGGGTGCAGCTGTTTCTATGTCCTGGCTACTGTGATGAATGCTGCCATAAACACCTGTGCCAACACACCTGGCATAATTTCTTTTTACTGCTTGCTATTAGGTTTTGTAGTGGTGGGATTAAACTCAGGGCCTTGCACACATCAGGCGTCACTGTGCCACACCCCCAGCCTGCCCCACTTTTTCCTCCCTCCCTTCCTTCCTTCCTTCCTTCCTTCCTTCCTTCCTTCCTTCCTTCCTTCCTTCTTTTCTCTCTTTCTTCCTTCCTTTTTCAAAGACAGGGTTTCTTTGTGTAGCATTGACTGTCCTTTGCAGACCAGGCTGGCCTTGATCACAGACATCTGCCTGCCTCTGCCTCCCTGAGTGCTGGAGTGACTACTGGTTCTTAGTGGGGAGGAGATAGAAGGGTCTGAGGTCTTGAACCCTTATACCCTTTTCAAGCCTGGCCTTACCCAGAGACCTCACCTGGGGATTGTGGACACTCTGAGTTCTGACTCCAAACCCTCTCTGTGCCCCTTACTATTCCATTCTTCAATCTGTCAAACCACTTGCTACAGCCCCATAGTTCTCTATTGAGTAACTTACCCACCTTCCCCAGAAGCGTGGCTCTATGTGAAGGTAAGGACAGGTCCACCCCATTCACTGCAGGAAGTGTCAGCCTCTACCCTACCCTAGTCCTTTCATAGTTCTTTGTTAAGTAAACGAGAGAAGATATTAAGACATGGTCTGTCCTTTTTAAGTTTTATTATTTTATGTGTATAGTGTTTTGTCTGCATGTATGTCTGTGCAAAGTATGTGTGCTTGATGCCCAGGGAGGCCAGACAAGGACATTGGATCCCTTGGAACTGGAGTTACAAGGCTGTTAGGTTACCATGTGCCCAGGAGACCTGAACCTCGGTCCTCTGGAAAAGCAGCCAGTGCTCTTAAACACCCAGCCACCTCTCTAGTCTCTGGCTTGTCCTTTTCAGATGTTCAACTCTCTGGCCATAATGTTGCCAGGAAGGGGGGGGGGGGAAAGCTAAGCTATTTAGCTATTGGGAGGAGAAAGGTTCACCCAAAGACCTCTTTCCTTCTTTTATTACCAAAGTAAGTGATGTATGAGATAAATCCTGGATATAAAATCTTGACACATCTTTGAGGTGTTGGCTGGAGCAAGCCTGAAGAGAAAGTAAATCAGATCACTCCAGGTTTTCCCTAAGAGCCCCTGAGATGCAGTTATGAGTGGAAGGCAAGGCCAGACAGACCCAGGAATTCAAAGCTTGACCTACTTTGTCGAAGCTAGTAAGAGGAAAGACGTCTGCATAATCTGTCTGTGGCTTTCTCTCTCTCTCTTCCTCTCTCTCTTTCATAGTAAAGGACAGTGGAAGCACAGAACAGACATTAGAATTCACAGAGAGTTGAAGGCCATGAAATCGCTTCAGGATTGAGCAGCTACAAGAAGCCTGTGTTTCTGCGTCGTCGTGTTATTCTCTTTCCCCTCCCCCTCTTTAGAGTGAGAGAGAGAGAGAGAGAGAGAGAGAGAAAGTAAGTGCCTAAATTCCCACCAGCATAAACCAATGACATACAATGATGAAATTCTGTTTTCACCTCTGCCTGTGACAGGGAATGCAAAAAATAGCAAGTGGCCTATTTCCACGAATCTCCGCCTCCCTGCCCTCCCCGCTCTCGCCGGGTTTGGATCTCTAAGAATGGAGGCTAGCGCACAGGCAGGAGCCAGCCGGGATCAGCCCCCGAACCCCAGGGTGATGTCAGTGGACGGGAGCGGCCGCAGCGCGGCCCGAGAGGCCGCGGCCCCTGGAGAGCAGGGAGGGCGGGTGGCCTCGATGGGCGGACCGCGCGCCTGGCCGCGCGGCGTCGCCTGGAGACGGCCCTGGCGGCGCTGTGTTGCTGTAAACAGCCGCTCGCTGTTACTATCTATAGCAAGATCGCCTAGCTCCCGGGTGCGGCGGCCCGAGGCAGGTTTGTGGGTCTGCACCCCTCGCGCCCCTAACGATCTACCCGCTGCCCTAATCCTTTCCCAGCCCGCCTTGGAATGCCCACCAGTTGGCGTGACCCCCAGAACCCACAGGATGGAGCCGAGGGGACACCTGAGCGGTGCGAGGATCTGCGGTTTCCTACCCCAGGGGTGACAGGCGCTCTGGGGCCGAGCCCAGTCAGTGTAACCCGCCTTGTCCTCTGCAGAAGGACAGGAGGCTGAAGGCACGTAGGGTGTCCTGCACTGAAGCACCTGGCCTCCCCAAAGTTCCATCTTCCAAGACTCAAAGCTGTGCTCGGGTCCCAGGCGCCAGAATCTCCCCTGCGCGCCGCTGGGCACCGTGCTTCAAGTCCCCTTTGGTCCCCCCCCCCCCCCCCCCCCCCCCCCCCCCCCCCCCCCCCCCCCCCCACCCCCCCCCCCCCCCCCTCCGCCCAAGTCCGAACTGGAAAATCACCCGCCGCCGGCTCCCTGGAAGCGCAGTTTCCTGGCTGCACGGATTCAGGCCCCCACCTTCCCAACGCGGACTTGTGCCCCCCCCCCCCAAGAGCTCACCTCATTTTGTAATCCTGAGCCGCCCCCTGCCCCCGCCTGCCCTCCGGCCCCAGCTCAAAACCAAGCCGAAGACCCTTTCAAGGCAACCTTGCAGGGAGGGTTTTGCACAATGTTTATCCGTCCGTGTCTCGGGGACAGACAGTCACCCCGATAGCTCTAAGTGGCTAAGGACCAGGGTTGGGGGTGCCGCCTTCCTTTAAAACACAAGTGAATGAATGAATGAATGAATGAACTCAGTACCGTAGGTAAAGCAGGTTACTGTACACTTTAGAGTCCTTCAGTTGCGGCTTCCAACCTTAGTTCTGGTTTCTCGAGGCCAGGGGCTGGAGCGAGGGGCTGAGAAGCTGATTTCATTATTATTATTATTATTGTTTTGCACTGATTTGACATGGGGGCCCGAGGTGGGCAAGCTTTCCTTTGGGAACAGAGGCTTCAAGGCTTTAGGCGCTCTCTGCCTGTTTTCCTAATACCAGAGACTCAGAAAATGTTCTAGATTTCTGGACAGTGAAAAGGAGGTGACCCCCCCCCCCCCGCCCATCTCATCCCCCGACCCTGGGGACACGGCCCGCATTGAATCAGGTGCGAATGTTCGCTCGCCTTCTCTGCCTTTCCCGCCTCCCCTCCCCCGGCCGCGGCCCCCGCTCCCCCCTTGGCGCTGCACCCTCGGAGTTGGCTGCAGCCTGCGAGCTGTTCCCGTCAATCCCTCCCTCCCCTACACAGGATGTCCATATTAGGACATCTGCGTCAGCAGGTTTCCACGGCCGGTCCCTGTCGTCCTGGGGGGGCCCGTCTCCGAGATCCCACGTGCGGAGAGTTCGGGAGACCCCCCCGAGACCCCTACCGTGAACACCCACGGGCGAGAGTGCCCCGCTGGGACGGGGGTGGGGAGGCTGGGGCGCGGAGTTGAGCCCTGGGTGCCCGCAGGGGGCGCTGGGGCGCGCGTCTCCCCCGCAGGGCCTTGGTTCCGCCCAGTGACGTCCGAGGTTCATTCACAGGCGCTTTCTATAAAGGCGCCGACCGAGGCGCCTACTACTCCAACCGCGACTGCAGCGAGCCACTGCGAGAAGACGGGATAGAGCCGGCGGCGCCGCGGACGAGCACTGACCGCGCTCCCGCCCAGCTCTGCTCTGCAGCTCCCGCCAGGGTCCACCCCTGGAGCCCTCGCTGGCCTCTCCCCAAACCTCGACCATGATGTTCTCGGGCTTCAACGCCGACTACGAGGCGTCATCCTCCCGCTGCAGCAGCGCCTCCCCGGCCGGGGACAGTCTCTCCTACTACCATTCCCCGGCCGATTCCTTCTCCAGCATGGGCTCGCCTGTCAACGCACAGGTGAGTTTGACCGGGTGGCAGCCGCCGGGTCCGCGCTGGGAGGGTCGCAGAGGAGGGGACCCCGGGGCGGGACACTCGGGGGCGTCGGTTTGGAGGGGGCGGGGGTCTTCCTCTCTCACTCCGGAGGGAGGCTGCCCTGGCCTGGGGCTCCAGGACTTGTCTGAGCGCACGCACGCTTGTCGTAGTAAAAAGACTTGGCGACCCCTTCCCGCGCGGCAGGTGGATTCCGAGCTGCCTGCGCTCCTCTCTCGGGGACTTGTCTCAGTCTCGAGCAAAGGCTCGCCAACTTGAGCCCGGGAGGCGGCAAGCGAGCGGCGGTCCTCCCCCCCCCGCCCCCCTCTTTTCCTGGGGCAGCCTGGAGCAGGGAGGAGGGTGCTGCGGGCGGTGTGTAAAGCGGTTTCATTGATAAAAAGCGAGTTCATTCTGGAGACTCCGGAGCGGCGCCTGCGTCAGCGCAGACGTCAGGGATATTTATAACAAACCCCCTTTCGAGCGAGCGATGCTGAAGGGATAACGGGCACGCAGCGGTTGGATGGAGGGGAAAAGGCTGCGCTGCGGAATTCATGGGAGGGTATCGGGACAGCTTTTATCTCGGCTGAGAGGCGCACAGGAGGACGCTTCTCTCTCTCTCAGGCCCTCCTGCGGGCGCCACCGAGGCCGCTTGCTCCACCTGCCTTGAAAGCTCCTCGCTCACCTCCCGCCTTCCCCTCCTGGTTCTGTTTTCAGGACTTCTGCTCGGATCTGTCCGTCTCCAGCGCCAGCTTCATCCCCACGGTGACAGCCATCTCCACCAGCCCAGACCTGCAGTGGCTGGTGCAGCCCACCCTGGTCTCCTCCGTGGCCCCGTCGCAGACCAGAGCGCCCCACCCCTACGGAGTTCCCACCCCGTCGTCGACCGGGGCTTACTCCAGAGCGGGAATGGTGAAGACCGTGTCAGGCGGCAGGGCGCAGAGCCTCGGCAGAAGGGGCAAGGTAGAGCAGGTGAGAGGCTGCACGTGCAGCTGGGAGGCAGCGGGAGGGGGGGACCCGGGGGGCGGAGGGACACGACACACGCTGCCCAACAGAGAGGGTGAGACCCGGGCGTAGCGGACTGCACCTCCTGACCGGGAGCCGTGCCTCCGAGCCCCTCTCCCTCCCTCGTCAGGTTCTGACAGTACTTCTGACAGTCAAGAAGTACTCCCTGACAGTTTCCCCAGACAGCTCCCTCCCTCACTCTTTAGCCTGCACGCTTCTTTTGTTCCCTCCCCGGGGATCTTACTTTAAATGCAAATCACACTCAAGCCTGCCAACTGCAGGTTAGAAAAAGTGCTTTCCCGAGAGAGGGGCGAGGGCGCTGGAGGAGCCAGTTTTCCTGGGGTGTCCGGTTGGAGGTGACGGCCAGGCTGCCTTACTGAATGTTGCTCCTTTTCTTCCTTACTACAGTTGTCTCCCGAAGAGGAAGAGAAGCGGAGAATCCGAAGGGAAAGGAATAAGATGGCTGCAGCCAAATGCAGGAACCGGAGGAGGGAACTGACCGACACTCTCCAAGCGGTAGGTTGAACCTGCTGGCTGCTCCTGAAACTTCAAAGCGAAGTTGAAGGTTGGGGTTAAGGGAGCGGGAGGTCCTTGAGCCAGACCGTGCCTCATGCTTTCCTTCATCTCTCCCCCCGTGCAGGAGACAGACCAACTGGAAGACGAGAAGTCTGCCTTGCAGACCGAGATCGCCAACCTGCTGAAAGAGAAGGAAAAACTGGAGTTTATTTTGGCAGCCCACCGACCTGCCTGCAAGATCCCCGACGAGCTGGGCTTCCCAGAAGAGATGTCTGTGGCCTCCCTGGATTTGACTGGCGGTCTGCCTGAGGCCGCCACCCCAGAGTCAGAGGAGGCCTTTACCCTGCCCCTTCTCAATGACCCTGAGCCCAAGCCGTCGTTGGAGCCAGTGAAGAGCGTCAACAACGTGGAGCTGAAGGCTGAGCCCTTTGATGACTTCTTGTTTCCGGCATCGTCTAGGCCCAGCGGCTCCGAGACGGCCCGCTCTGTGCCGGACATGGACCTGTCCGGTTCTTTCTATGCAGCAGACTGGGAGCCCCTGCACAGCAGCTCCCTGGGGGTGGGGCCCCTGGTCACGGAGCTGGAGCCCCTGTGCACCCCGGTTGTCACCTGCACCCCCAGCTGCACTACCTACACGTCTTCCTTCGTCTTCACCTACCCCGAGGCCGACTCCTTCCCCAGCTGCGCCGCTGCCCACCGGAAAGGCAGCAGCAGCAACGAGCCCTCCTCTGACTCGCTGAGCTCACCCACACTGCTGGCCCTGTGAGCAGTCAGGGAAAGGGAGGCAGCGGCGCCCGAAAGAGCCACTGCCTGAGCTGGTGCATTACAGAGAGGAGAAACACGTCTTCCCCAGGGGTCTGTGCGTGAAACACACCAGGCTGTGGGCCTCAAGGACTTGAAAGCACCCGGACTCAAGTCCTCACCTCTTCCGGAGATGTAGCAAAAACAAAAACAAAAACAAAAACGCATGGAGTGTATTGTTCCTAGTGACTCCTGAGAGCTGGTAGTTAGTAGCATGTGAGCCAGGCCTGGGTCTGTGTCTCTTTCCTCTTTCTCCTTAGTCTTCTCATAGCATTAACTAATCTGTTGGGTTCATTATTGGAATTAACCTGGTGCTGGATATTTTCGGATCGTTATCTAGTGCAGCTGATTTTAACAATACCTACTGTGTTCCTGGCAATAGAGTGTTCCAATTAGAAGGTGACCAATATTAAACTAAGAAGAGATAGAACTTTATTTTCCAGTAGATAGAAGTAAATAGCTATATCCATGTACTGTAGTTTTTCTTCAACGTCCACCGTCATGTTCATCCGTCATGTTGCTGATCATGCATTGTTGAGGTGGTCTGAATGTTCTGACATTAACAGTTTTCCATGAAAACGTTTTTTATTGTGTTTTCAATTTATTTATTAAGATGGATTCTCAGATATTTATATTTTTATTTTATTTTTTTCTACCCTGAGGTCTTTCGACATGTGGAAAGTGAATTTGAATGAAAAAAAAATTAAGCATTTGTTTGCTTATTGTTCCAAGACATTGTCAATAAAAGCATTTAAGTTGAATGCGACTACCTTGTTGCTCTTTTTATTCTGAGAGGGTTTTTTTGCATGGTTTCTGGAGGGCGGTTCAGGAGACCAGTTTGTCGAGATGGGTTGGTCCTGGAGGGAGGCACACCCTCTGCCTGTTCCCTTATCACTCAGAAGGAAACGCCAGTTCAGGGTATTTTACAGATATGTGCCTTTATATTGCACTGCGAAGATTTTCTACCTACCTGCCCTGGGGGCCGAAAGCTGCGTGTAGCAGCTTGTGCAAGGACTTGCCTTCTTGCTTCTCTTCTCTGCTTTTTGGAGGGAGTAGTCTTGAATTTATTTGCTCATCTTCAATTTAGCAATTGTCATGGGAAAAGGATCCTTTAACACAGCCTGGCTTCACACAAACTATTTTAACCTTATTTTTTTTTCTTTCCTTTTTTTGTCTTGTTTGAGATAGTATCTTGCTGGGTAGCCCAGAATGGCCTCAAACTTACAGCAATCTTCTTGTCTCAGTCCTGCCAGTGCTGCTTATTACAGACAAGCAGCAAGCTTAGCTTTCTAATTCCTACAAAGTCGTGGGAAGATTTACTCTTATCTTAAAAAGTGAGTGAACTGAAGAATGGTTGAGATAAACAACCTCCCGTACTGCAAAAACAAATCACCACTTCTCACTCTTATCCAGTCTATTAGGCTGGACTGCCTGTTCTTTCTTTTTAATTAAGCATTAAAATCACATTTATTTATGTGGGAGGGCGTTTGTGCGCCATTGTGCTCCCACAGGACAACTTCCAGAAGCTATAGGTCCTGGGGACTGACCTCAGGTTGTCAGGCATGGTGGCAAGCAATTTTACCCTCTGAACCAGTCTTGCCAGCCTCCCCCCCCCCCCCTTTAAAGATGTTTTTGTTTTTATTATTTTATGGGTAAGGGTGTTTTGCTGGCATGTATGTCTATGCACCGTGTGCATGCAGTGCTCACAGAGGCCAGAAGAGGGCAGTGGTTCCCGTGGAACTGGAGTTCAGGGACAATGGATGCTAACCATGCAGGTGCTGGGAACCTCAACCTGGCTCCCCTTGCAAGACCAGCAAGTGCTCTTAACCGTTCAGCCACCTCTCCGGTCCTCCTGAACTGCCTCATAATACTTGGCTTTAAAAGTTTTCCCTTGGTTAAACAAAGGGTTTTCCCCCAAATTTTAGCTGTTTATTTTTTTGAGATAGGTCTAATGTAGTCTAGTCTGACCTCAAACTTGCTACGTAGCTGAGGCTGGCCCTGAACTCCTAATCTTTCTGTTACATCTCCCAAGTGCTGGCAGTGCCCCTCTGTCTGCACAGTCACACCTGGCTTCAGTTCCTCACTCTCACATGTATTCATTTAGTTGACCCTTTTTATTCTCAGAAGAAAGGAGGGGAGGCTCTTGTCCTATGCCACCGTGAAAAACAAATTCTAACTTCTGAAGTTACTTCAACGCCTCATGTACTTCAAGTTACAGTAAGGGGAGAAGGAGCTGGCAATTCAAAGAGCTCAAGCAGCACCAATAATGGCTGGTCATTCTGTAAATAAGAGGTTACATAATAGCTCAGTGGGAGGAGCCAGCAGACTCCTTGGTCTGGGACACCTATGGGAATGCTCCTTTCACTTACATACCCCCAAAGGGCAAGAAATGAGCCTCTACCCTTTGCTCTTAAGTGTCTAAAACCTGGAGACTGTTTCCACACATGCTAGGTGGAAGGGGAGCCTCCAGGGCAGTAATGGTAATGAAAATCACTCGGTGGTCACGGTGGATCCCACACTCTTGGCAAGTTATGTTTTAATGACAAATGACAGTTCAAATGACACTTGAGCTGTTCGCCTATGACCTACCTGTTCCTACCATAGTGATCGACACTTCAAAGCAACTCACTCAAGTCGCTTTAGGGCATTCTTTACAGGACACACAACTTGGACACTGCTTTAGTCAGTTCTGAATGATGAGTGAGACCCAGAGCTGAGGTTCACCTTGAGTTCTGAGCTACACTGTGAGATCCTATATAAATACAATGAAATGTGGGGTTTTTTTTGTTTGTTTGTTTGTTTTGTTTTGTTTTAAGGTTTGGGCTCATTATTTGCTGTTTGAAGGGTAAATATTCTTTAAATATAATCTCTAGCTTTAGAATTAATATGGCATTTGTAAGGACCCAGTGGGCTCTTTTTTTCGATGTGTGGTGATAACAACCTGAGGGAGATTTCCCAGATAGCCACACAGAAAAGTAGCTTGCCCCAGGGGCCTCACTAATAGCCCTGGCAGCCCGCACGCACACTAGCTATGGAAGAAGAGCATCACCTTTTTTAAGAGCCTTGACAAAAAGCCTACTGCAGTTCCCCGTAGCCCAGGCCATACTCCATCCACGGGAGAACACTGAAACTCCAGGAAGACAGAATCTCTAAAAGGTTTTCTCAGAGTCCATGGGATCCCCTTAGGACTGACACCTTCCAAGCACCTAGCCAGCCACTTCTATATGTGAGGAAGAAGTATCTTCCCAGTCTAGCCAAAGGACTCCTTCTAAATCCCCCTTATGGGGTTCAGGGTTCAAAAACTACTGAGCATGACTGACATTAGGAATGCCAACTTTCTCTTGGGAAACACTTCCATCCCTGCTCAGAAGACGCAGCCTCAAACTAGTTCCACTGGAATAACTGCCTGCATGTCTTCATTGATTGATATAAGTCCTGAACATACAACAGAAAGGGCAAAAGACGAGGGGCCATTTCCTTGTGGGGACCATGTCTAGTCTGACCTACCAATGGACTTGAAGACCTAGTTCAGAGCTACAATACAGGGTTAGTGAACATTTTGCTCAGTGGGTGAATGAATAAATCCTGCACTCTTTCCGCAAGCAGAAAGCAGCCTTGCACTGTTCTGTAATTTTTGTTCCGGTCCCCCTTAGGATGTTAGGCAACAGGAACATTGTCACATTGTCTTTTACATCTGGCTGCAAACACACACCCCACTTCTGCCCTTCATTCCTGGAATTCCTCCACTGCCTCCCCTGGATTCCTTCTGCCATTTCAGCAAAGTGAATGTATTGCAACTGTGCACTGGCTGAAATTAATTTTAGGTGATGGAAGAAAAAAAAAATACTCATGAGGCTCCACATCTCCTTTGTACACGCCTACGTCTCATGCGATTACCAAAATTAACGAGAGGCACTTTTCGTTCTAATAACAGTTATTTTGTATAAACAGCCATCCCCATACGTGAGTGAAAGTAAATCAATCATGCTACGTTTAATTAAGGGACAAAGTCTAAGGACTCGGTAAAAACCCTAAGGCGATTACTCTAAGCAAATGACGGCAAGTTTCAATGTCTCTGAAGTAAAAAAGAAGCAAAGGCAAACACGACCGACCTTTAAACTGTGCACACGTTCCCTCTGAAACAAGTCCTCAAAGGGTAAGGGATAGGAGTGACATTTGAGCAGGCTCTTTAAATGGTGCTGGGTTTACTATTAACGTTAATGAGTTGAGCCTTTATTCTCCTTTGTAAACACCCTACAAATACCCTGTGAACTCACACTGCCTGAGGTCTTGAACTCAAACCTTCAAGAGGTTCTTGTTTGTTTGTTTTGGTGCTGATGAGCCTCTTCCTGAGCCTCTTGGCCAAAGTTGGCTACTCCTTGGCACTCGGGACTCAGCCCGAAGCAAGACTCCTTTGAGATGCCTTCCCGGGTTGTTCTATCTAAGGTGTCTTCTGCACATGCCTCCTCCACGTGACTTTCTCATGATCACAGTATGGGCTTCCACAGTGTTTATCATCAGCTGCGACATCCAGCCTGGGGTTTCTTTTACTTAAAATAGTTGGCGTCTTGCCCCTCACTACTGAACTCTAAGTCCCGTGAGAGCAATGGCCTTTTTGTATCTTGATCATGATGGAGTCCCCAGCATCTCTTAGGGTTGTTGACTGAATGAAAACAGATGAAGGAGTGCAGACGAAAAATTATAAAAAAACGTCACAAGATAGCTGGAACTTAGGAGTAAAAATTGTAATCGGCTTTTGTAAGCGGCTTTGTAAGCGGCTTCAAAGGTAGAAGAACACGGCCCTTTATTAAAATACAAATTCCAGGCTGGAGAGATGGCTCAGCCGGTTAGCACCTGCTGCTCTTCCAGAGGACCCAGGTTCAATTCCCAGCACCCACGATGAGTGGCTCACGACTGCTCACAATAGCTCCTGCTGCAGTGGGGTTTAACACCTGTGGCTTTGGTGGGCACTCCCACTTCTTCTTCACATAGCTACCCATATACGCGTAGCTGAAAAGTAAAATAGATAAAATTTAAGCAGCAACAAATAGCAAGCTGTCCAGATGACTCAGCAGATAAAAGAGCAACCCAAGTTCCATCCCTGAAATCCATAGAGAAGTGGAATGAGAGAACCGACACCACAGAGCTCTTCTCTGGCCCTTACATTTGAGAACTCACACTTGTTTGAGGAAAAGTCATGTCACTTTAAGGACGGTGGCTCGCATCCACAATTCCGGCACTGGGGGAGTTACAGCAAAAAATGTTGACATGAATTTGAGGATAGCATGGACTACATAGTGAATTCCAGGCCAGCCTGGGCTACGGAGTAAGACCCTGTTTTGTTTTTTTATTGTTGTTTGTTTAATTTTTTTAAACAAAACAAGAATAATAACGAAAATGTTTTCACTTTGGTATAAAACTTTCAGAATGTAATAGGAGCCCATGTGGATTCATTCAGTGTGCTGAAGGATGCAACCTGTAATTTGGTCTGCATTAGAATGGAAGAGTAAGGGTCGGCATTCAAGTGATCAGTTTCAATGTCATTAGCCAAAAGAAGGTCCAGACCTGAGGTGGATAAGATGTGCTAGATGCTGGTGAATGACTTTGGCTCCTAGAAGTGACCAGTTGGGTACATTTTCCTTGCCTTTGCATGCAGGAAAAGGAAGACAGAAATCCAGACCAGTTTAGTTGCAACACAGCCCATTTCTCACTCATGGACTAAACTCAACTGCCTTTCCTTTGGTCGAAAGCAATTGTCCTGCCGCT